AACTACTTCTCTCAAGTTTCGATCAGCCCAATGTAAACTCAGCGCACGAATAGTAGGTTAAGAAATTTACGACAATTGAAGCAAAGTTTTTTGTTATTTTGATGTTTAAATAGTACTGAGGTAATGAATTGCATATGCTTTTAATGCGTTTTAGTTTAATCCATTAACCACGTGTATCAGAGATGGGGCATGAGCGTGGGTGATGTTGTTGTGCAATAAAGTTACGGTAATCTTATCAGATTTCATCGCTCAAATACTTGAACAGTTATGAATCACCGATGGTTTACGAAACAAATATCTTTGCGCAACAAAAATACTCAAGTACATGTGTCATCATGCATTATTTTCAGCACGAATAAATTTTAAAGCTTTGATCCTTTGATTACTTTCAACGAAGATTTGAAGATCAGTCGCATTCCACCTACACGCTAATATAGTTACGTCATAGTACCTTAGGCGATGGAGAGAATAATTACTTGTGGGCGAACAGTCGTAAAATCAAGAAGCGATTATTTTACAACAATGTTGTAGCTTCAATTTATCTTTGTCGCATTTGTCATTTTATGAGCGAATAATCTGCATTTACAAACATTAAGTAATTAGCATTCGGAACGAGTTGTTTGGATGACAGCAATTTGTAGTTTACAACCTTTGTACAAGATTGATGAGATGTGGTCGCTGAACGTGGTGAAAGGACACAGTATTTGTAGGGCACCCTATTTAATAATCAAGAATCATTATTGTTATTTATTTCACCTGAAATAAATGCATCTTTGTTGGCCAGAATAATATCACCTTGACCAGGGAGTGCCCAATTCAACGAGTATTGCTCCGCTCTTTGTCCGGTTAAGGTGAGGCAAAATATATGTATATGTAATCGAGTTGTAGTTTACAAATAGTATTTGTTTTCTGGGAATCGGTTCCACTGCTCAATTAAGCTGTTTGTTTCAAAAAAGGATAAATGACATTTAATATGTTAATGTCTACCACATTTAATCGTATTTGCTGACCAACCTTGTTAAGACGTGATAATTCGAATCTTAATTACAACCTATCATTCGTATTACTTTTCACATTAAAATAATTGATTGGCAACCTAATGCAGAAAATTCGTGCCTAATAGCATGGACATTTGTCTTCCATTAATTCTAATAGCTTTCTCGTTGGCGCCTTCTCTTGTTAAACCCTTCTCTGTGCTGCAGTGGATCAGTTGATTGTAATTAATTAAGAGATAAGACAACAATAAGATTATTAAATATATACGGATATGTTGAGAAATACGCGTACTTATAATATATACTTGATATAATTTGACAGATATAGGTCACATGAGATTTATCGGCTATTCATTTTCGTTATCCCGTAACTCACATAAAGCCAAAAAATCTGTAAAGGTGACCCATCGTTCGTGTTTTCTTGTCACCGCCAAAACTTATTACTTTTCAACCGATACCAAAATTTTCCAAAGATTGCGGTTCGCTCTGAATTGTATTACAATACCATTCATCATATTGCAAATTGCAGGCGGCTGTATCAAAGGTGATCCATCTTTTTCAGTGCCAAAAGTAATTCGTTCTATAATACTGTATATAGCTTTGCACAAATATCGTTTTGGCAAAACACTTCAATGAATATTCATCTATTTCCGGGTGTGATAGATGTGCTTGTCCAAAAATACGGCATTTGTAATGTAGCTTTCTCTGCAATAGAATGAGATATTGAATTCATAAAATTATTTTTCTGGAAGTCGGGCCGGACCGGAACTGGTTTACCTTTCTAAAATTGAATATCTTTGGGAAAGTATGCAGATTTTTACCCAATTAGTTAATTCGGAATGGCAACAATTATCCGCTGGAAATTGACTGAAAACATTAGTTAAATTTACATATTTATTTATCGTCCTTTCGTGCTTTCTTTTGTGTCAATAATACACTACTATCGTAAAATCTGGTTCGAATTATGGATCTTAAATGCTATTAATTTAAACTTTTACGTCGAGACACTGAACAAACTATGGCGTCCTTCATTATTTGCTTATTTGTCTGCCAGCGAATAGAGAAGGGTGAACAGAAAGTAATAAAAACTCTGAGTTTTGTCATATAGCCTATATCAGGGCTACTCAACTGGCGGACCGCGGTCCGAGTCCGGACCTTTCGGGTATTCGATTCGGACCGCATCTAATTCTTTATTTTGGATCATTAGCCCGACTTTTGAAGTTTTCTTTTATAAAATCACTTGTATAGATTTAAATATAAATGAAAAGAACTATAACGCCAAAATAAACAATCTTGATTAGCTGATAATCATGAGTCGGCCGAGGAAGTGCGTGTTTAAGGAAATATAATTTTTGGAAAGTCCGGATCCAAATATTTTTGAAATTTTGTATGCGGATCTCCGGTAAAAATAGTTGAGTAGCCCTGGCCTATATTACTGTTTTAATGGGAACTGGTGAGAAAGTGGCGTTATTGGTCATTTCAAAGTTACAAAAGCTATAAAAGTTGATACCTATTTTGCAATAGTATTGTATAAATCTACAGTATAAATCATATTATCCGAATTGCAAATAATTCGACGAAACTTCTCTATCGTCGTCTTATTTGAAGCTCAGCATTGGCATCCGCAAGTAGTTATGTTACACTCACGGTGTAATTGAATTGGTGAGAATATAGTGATAATCTCAGTAAAATGGACCTCGGCTTATTGATCAGCAAGGTACCCACCGTTTCGCTTTTACGGCCAGTCTAGCCTGTGTGTGAGATGGAAGTCATTGTCACGGCATCAGCATGTAAGTGTGGCCAAGTCATTGACCTTTCAGTGACTTTACGCACGTTTTTTTACGTTATAAAAATACGTTTCATTTCGTGGAATTTTGTTCTTTCTAGTCGTATTAGATAATATAGGAAGAGTAGCGGAAAATTAGAAAGAGAAATGCGGCTTTATGTTGTTGTGACAGTGTTCTGATGAGAAGTGTATTTTGACAGCAACGTAGTTCTGCGATCATACGATTACAGATGACAGTGACAAATATTAGTTAACTTGATATATGGCTCGTTTAAACAATCGAGTGTGTGAAACCACAGCAACGTCCAAGCGTCGTAAAATTTCGAATCGCGTCTTAAAAGTTTTGTTAATTAACGGTGTACATGAACCGAAAGGAACCTCTGAAACGCGGGATCTGTCTGCGGCAACTGATTGGTAACGAACAAGTTCTGTATGTGCTGTCGAAGCTTACATTGACACCTTGGAATTCTGTTGTAAAAATAAAAGCAAACACGTCGTTGTTATGAGGTTGTACTTGGCGTACGGCCGGTATTGTTGCTGAACGAACCGCGCAATATATAATATCGTCTGGGATTAGTTAACCCCACCCTAACGGCATTCCTATTCTGACCATGGCACGCGAGTTTTCCCCGAACAATACCATATATTATTTGTAAGAAATTGAATTGTGAGCATCGTTGTAAGAGTTGCCAACTGTAACGAGAAAATCCAGAATTCAAATGACGTTCGGCAGTAGCAACGATTTGTTTTTGATTTTATTGCATACAGTGCATTCAGGAGGTTCGCACGGGTTGCGGGAACCCATTTGTGGAATATCGAACCCCTGGTTTAGTTCATCATGGTTTTAAAATCATAGAACCCGTTGTTAGGTAGTTTCATACAAAGGATTTTTAAAATTCTGGATCTCATTACTGATTGTATTATCTCTCATTTGTTCGCTGTTATAATAACGCCCGATAACAGTACTGGTACCAAGCTATGATAGAAACTGAATACAAAATTTTCTATATGTAATCGGCTTTTTCAATGATAAATGGCACCCGTGATAGGAGTATGGGCGTTTTAAAGGCGTTGGCACAGCGGTTTCACACGCGTAACTCAGCCCATGCTATACCTCTGAGTGCACTTGAATGGTTAGCATAATTGTTGTCGGGTGTTGTGATGAGTAACGTTAGTTTAATGAGCATACGAAGTCAGAAAATGTCTGCCGCGTTGTTTACAGGCCTTATTAGATTCATATTTTTGGGATCACCGAAGTTCACAGCGCGTACATACCAGCATACGGTTCTGCATATATCGCGATGCGAATTCGATGCAGAAAAACAGCTGTTTACCTAATAGAATAATTTTGATACCGGTATGTGTGCCAGAATAGGCTGTGTCAATATTTTATATGAGGTTATATGAAAGAAATATAGCTATTCATTCCGGAAGTTTAAACGACATGTGGTGTTTTTGGTTAATGGTTAACTAGCTGCATTTGATAGTAGCATATATCTGTATATCGTATACAGTGTATTAGGCAGTATGAGTTGAAGCTGGCATTGTACCAGCAGTGCTTGTGATGTATTGCAATATGTACTGATGTAGGAGAAAGGGGTTTATGCATTATCATACCTGCATTCTTTGTATTTTGACATGGCAATACAGCTAGGATATGTGTATAATTAAAACGTTTCAAAATGGTGTCTATGATAACTATTCCATGATAACTAATGATGATCAATCTCTTGGTATCTTTGTCAAAGGGTTTGTTTTATTTTAGAATGGGTTTATCCTAATTCTTATTAGTGATCATAATCCCAAGCACAGAAGATGATTGTACTGAAACCGATTAGACTGTCATGTTGATTATGGTCTTGAAACTTATTATCATAGTATTATAGGTATATTGTACCATGAAATTGTTGTCTGGTTTGCTATAATACAAAATATTAGACTACATGGCTTCCTCAATCGATTGTGTGTTGTGCAATAGTGGTAATTCTACTCACAAACACAGATTATACAGAGATTATATTTTACCGAATACTGTGTAAGACATTGGTAATCTATGAATTGTTGAATATCATGATATGATTTCATAATAGGAAATGTGTGTAGATCATTGTGTATATTTTCATATGAAAATTATTTTCACTTTACCACTTTTTTTTACTATTTTCATGTAAAATTCGCTCATGATTATGCAAATATAATTTGTTTTTATTCATTTACAGTGAACTATCAGATCATGATACTACTGATTCTGAGAGTCTAGAAGATAAACTACAAGCATTAGAGGGCAATATATCACCCGGAACAGTACGAGGGAATATATCTCCTGAATTATTTGTCGACGAAGCATTAAGTGACGCTGCTGAAAATAATTTATCTCCACTAGATGTCAATCTAACTAAAATTGAGGTTATTGAACCGGAATTACCCCCAAGAACCGACCCCATAGTAGATATATCTATTCATCAAGTAACTAAAGAACCTTCTGTGTTAACGAGACCACAGGAGGGCATCAAAACAACTAATATTCTCCCCCCGATTCGGGATGATAATATGTTCAACGGTGGACTAAGATACTACGATAAAGGTCCAGAATACGCTGTACCGATGCGTGATATGAAAATCACAACTATACCTTCGAAACGTGCGATTCTTGTCAGCACAGGAAGCGAAGGATATACTGATCATGACAACATGGCAGCCCAGAGTTCAGGTTTGGCAATTTTTATATGATGTATTTAATGTTGTGTTGCTTTGCTTTCTTGAGATGTCTGCCTATTTTGGAGTATCACAGTAATATCCTGAAATTTCAATCAATTTTTCTCCATTTCTTGAATAAATTCTTTTTCTAAATTTTTTGATATTTCCTAATTTAATGCACAATCAAGCAAAAATATTATGATTATTGCATTGAGATATCAGATCAGCTTTTAAAATTTTGAGCAGAAAGGGATCATGCAAATAGTGCATATTATTGCTAGGAGACTTTATTTCTGACACGACCCACCAGGTCATACTGTACTTGTACTGCCTATTATGCTCATTATTTAGCAAAAATCTACCCCTTGCTGCAATGTACGGTAGGTAGTCTGAATAGGTAGTCATGCAACAATAACATTTACTGAGCCATTTTCATTTTTGTTCAATTTAACTTGCACAACTCTTATGATCAGTATGTAGGATAAAATCAGATTATCAATTTCTTCTCATCAATATATATTTTTTCATAGCAGGCGAGCGACGGGATTCTGTTTATGATGAAGGTAACTCATACAATGGTGCAGGCTATGCTACAATAGAAGAATATGATCCACAAACTAATGTAAGAAATTATTTATTTGCTACAAGTACAACCTAGGCTGAAGTAGTTGGCTAGGGTTTTTAGGATGAAAAATATTATCATTGTTATCTCCTACCCTCTACTTATTGCACACAATAGGCGATATTGATTTATGTTTTCAGAATACAGAATTCTACGTCCTTCCTATGTGAATACACTCAATTAACTCATCAGTCTGAATAGTTAAATTTATTCCAATTGGTTTTTAGAATGCAGATAATCTCCCTGAAGATGTGCAAGAACTTTTAAATGGATTACAAGAAGGCCCAGCCAGTACCAGTGACATTGACAGTGGTTTTCATGGAAGTTCTATGGCTTTACAACAGAACCGAGGAACAAATGGACATAACCATGTCACTTCCCAGAGCTCAAATGATTTCAGTGAAACTTTCAGTCCAGACTCTTCACAGTTTCATAGCACAGAAGCCTCCCCCACATACGATGATGGGAAGATATTTCTAGCAGGCAAACCTGGCATTCATCCTGAAATTCACAAAACAGAGCCGGTCGTTGTAACATATTGCAGCCAAGGTTCTGGTCCTGGAAATTCAGGTCAACCTGTAACCAGAGAGGTTGCACTTTCACCCATGCATAAAGCACGACAGCCAGGTATTAAAATTTATGGATTCAATGGTTGAGGAACCATTTGAGAGGATTTTTTCATCGATATCAAGTTTATTGCAAATTGTAATAACTTAGAGTTATAAATATTCTCTCTGTCCCAATGTTAGCACGTGGGGATACTGTGTCCAAAAATCCAAACAGCTTAGAATTTCTTCATTATTTTTGCATCTGAGTTCAAGACTATAATCTAGACCAAGGGGGGCAATTACTTTTTTGAGCAGGCCAGATACATATAATAGACATAGTTCCTGGGCCAGAGTCTTAAAACTTAATAAGAAAAAGTATACTTACAAGAGCTAGGCTAACGTTTATATAATATTAAAGATCGCAATGTAACAATCCGGGTCATTATCACATTATTTTCAACAGGAATTGATATGCATGAAAAATATAGTCTTAATTCTAGGAGACAAAAGTGGGCTGGATTTAACACTTCGTGGGCCAAATCTGGCCCGCGAGCCGTGAGGACCTTTGGGACTGAAGATGGTCTCATATCTGTTTATTTTTTGTTTTAGGTGTAACAATGTCAACCCAGACACTACCTGAGCCACAAGAAGCTAAAATCCAGATCATAACAATGAGGAATGTTTACAGACAAGAACAGGTGGGCCATTTACAAATGGTGATCTATTTTTTCAATATCCAAAAAGAAAGTGAAATTTAATAAAATTGATATGTCACTGGTTTGTGATCTAGAGATGCTATACACAAATCATATTGTGGTCGCCTGTAACTCTGCTCATAGATCAATCTCTTTGATTTTTGATTTAGTGCAAGTGACATTGGTTTGAACAAATTTCATTATAAAAAACATTAATAAATTCAAATTGAGGGTGGCTGTTATAAATCCATGTACAAATGCTGAGAAGATTAGTTTTTTTTTTCATTGTTTGCCTCTTACCTGTTGTGCATGTACTCAACTATGGAATTTTATTAGAGATACATTCTTGATAGCTCATTATAAGACATGAATTACCGTACTTTTATACAATACCTATTCACTCTTTCGTTCTGAACAACATCCTATATAAGCTGCCAGTGCCATTGCAATATAAGGATAAGTAAAAAGTAGGCCATTGTGCTGCCCCATGGTACAGGTCTAGAAAAAGCAAAGTCCGTCATTTGAATGAGTATTTATTATTTAGGATTCAATTTTCAAAATCAGAAAACTGTATTTGATGTATTTTGAGTCTGCGCTTTAAAAAATGATATTTTGTAGGATGTAGTGAGGCTCATAATTTAACAAACTTGTTTGTGACATGTCTCTGTCAGCACTTTGTCATTTTGTGTCTTTCAGATTGAAATCTTCCTCCACTATACCTAGAATAATATTGGTATAGTCGTATGTTTATGTACATAAGAGAGATAGGGCATCAATTATCAGGACAGATGAACAATAGCAAGCTATCATTGTGTGATATAGCAACAGATGGCTCAATTTTAGTTTAGGCAAGTGTGACTGATGTGTTTGTGGTCAGGAATGTGGAACATCAATGAAGTTTGCTACAATAAATTTAAATATACTTTTTGAAATTTAGATGTTGATTTTATTAAAGGAATATCGAAAAATTTTAAAATTACTACAGAATCTTATGTAAATAAGTTTGTAGTATACATTTTAGTTCGATAATTGGAGGTGATTTCTTATAAACTGAATGAAAAAAACACTTCCAAATTATTTAAAATGATAGGTTTAAAACTTCTCTTTTTGTATGTAAATTGTACATGATTTGAGGATATTTAGAATTGATGGGCAAACTTTTTTATATAACATTGAATCACATCTTTTGCTCCGAACAAGGCCTTGTACAAGCACCTACTGAAATCGAATTATATGTGATGAACAATGATCTACTTGTTTGGAAAGAACAGAATCTGTCTACTTCGGCATTGCCTAGGCCAGGGCTACTCAACTGGCGGACCGCGGTCCAAATCCGGACCTTTCAAGTATTCGGTTTGGACCGGGTCTGATTTTATTTTATTTTGAGGATTGTCTCCACTCAACTTTGGATATGTAAAAGGATGTGAAATATTATGCGGTTACTCAGTTTTCCACAACTCACGTTTTCTTAACTATTCAACAGAAAAGATAGAGTCACTAAAATATAGTTAGGTGCAGTATGAAATACATTTTTTGGCCAGAGCGGACCCCAGGAATTTTCAAGCTTCGTATGCGGACCTTTAGCAAAAATAGTTAAGTAGCCCTGGTCTAGGCTACCCAAATCATTACATCCTGTATAGGGTTGTGGACCTGAGATTAAAAAAAACACAGTATAACCTGCAATGCTGCCACAGTTAGCTCTAACTGCTATGTCATCTGCCTACATATCCAATATATGTGTCAGGAATTATAACCAGTGTCTGAAATGAGTTGAATGTCAATGCATACACACTCTTCTAAATCTACATATTTTATTTGTTATTATATTTGGTTTAATACATAAATATACATACAAAATGCCAGTATGCTATAGATACCTCAATTCTTTCATGCGGTCAGGACCAAAATAGACAACATGAATTTTAATATCCATTTAGCGTGACTCAGCTCTGTTTCCACAACCGTGGAAGAGTTGAAAATCCTTGTTTGACGATGATATTTCACGCGTGATAAAATTTTGTCATCCTCGGCTGTCGTGAATTTCTCACATGCCTATATATGGAATGGAATGGGGTTACGTTACCCCCTGGGTGATTAAGTTTCTTTTGTGTGACTTGATGGGTTGTAAGGTGACCTGAATTATGTGGTGTTCCCAATTTAAGAATATTTTTGGTGATGTGATTTTATGTAAATGTGTTTAAAGTAAGCAGGATATCAGGATATCCCAATTTATTGACCTTTTTAGCCTGTTTATAGATAAGGTTTGCTAAAGGTAAGATATCAAATTTGCTTATTTTTTGGCATGTTATCAGCCTTTCAGATTGTGATAAAGTTATATCACAACTAGTAAAATTCATGGCATTTTGCAGTGGGCCTATATTTTTATCTAACATTGTATTTATTTTAACATATTCTGGATTATGATATGAGAGGTAATTTTGTTTTGTATGCTAGGTTTTGTTTTACTGTTAGGGTGAAATGGGGTGAAATTTTCCACAAATATGGCTTATTATGTGTTCAGTTGGTCTGTTAGTAAGAGACTTGCCTATGAACAATGAGTTTTTATTATATACAGGGTCCAGAGTTGCTCAAAATGTCTATTTTACAGTTATTTTTTATTATCTGAGAGCTGAAATGTTGGCATGTAGTCTTTCAAACTGTGAAACTTTTAGAAAAACTGCAATGCACTAAATTGCTTTGTTAAATACAGTATAAAATGTTCAGTGAATTCACTGTGTTTTTAAAACACACCATGTTACAGTCTCTTAAGTCTATACATATTCTAGCTTTTAGGTTTATATCTGCATAAGCGTGCCTTTTTAATAATAATAATTTTTATTAATGTAATTAGGCCAGTTTGGACTGCAGCAGTCCTGAAATACCTTAATACCCGGCGATCAGAGACATGATGCTGACTGGGGCCATATAGTTACTGGGCAGGAAGAATTTGGTAACGATGTTTCATATGATTTCTGGTGGAAGCGTATGTAGTTAAAAGGGGAACACTGCATGGCAAATGCTTATAATCACACCAGCAGGCTTTTATATATCACTGATGCATCTAAAACTTTGTGATTTTTAATTTATCTTCTTCTGTCGTCTATGCCCCATTGATGGAGCATATCATCAATAGACCACAGTAACTCGACTAGGAACCTCTTTTCGCTCTATTTTTGTCTCCTTTGTTTGATGCAATTTAATTTAGTAAATTTACACAGAATTACTCTTTTAGAAAGGAAGTTGTTCTTAAAAGCATTCTGTTTAGTATTCATTAATGAAATTTCTTAGTTCAGTGAAGGGCCATCAGAATGACTGAGATTTAATAATTATTTGCATTGGTTTATTCGAGTTTAAATTCCATAAATCGTGCTATTATGTGACAGATTACTGAAAATGCAGCAAAATATGTTAGAAATCATCATGAGAATATTTGAATTTTCATTAGATTAATTTCGATTTGAAACATTTACAAACAAAATTATGATTAAAATACAAGTACCATAAATTGCATATTGCGATTCTGTTGTAATATGCTTGAGGAACTCCATAAAATTTTTTGTTATTTCAATATGTGGTATCCAGTATATTCAACTTTAAATTTTCCTGTACCTGATTCCCTTAATTCTCTTTAGCCATGTGTTATTGTTGAGATATCTGATTTTAGATAGTTTAATACAAAATTTGCTGATCACATTATCATCATTGAAATGTGAGGCTTGGTCTTACTGGTAAAGTTTACACTTCAAGTTGTAATTCATATTGATGAACAATGAGTAGAAATCTCCAAAGACCAATCTCCAAATTTAGTTTACCGTATATATGATATTCTGTATAATTTATCTCAGCAAACTTGTATTTGTTATCGGTAAGTATGTTGATAGGTGCTTGTCTGTCTGTCTGTTAGATGCACGCGATATCTCGCGAAAGCTAGGTTGAATCTGCTCCAAATTTTGCATGTGAATTCATCATATCTCGGACCAGAAGTTTATTGATTTTGGATGAATTATGTCGTATAATTAGCGTGTTATTATTAATTAGTGATGGGACACACGGTGTCACTATAGGGTCATGAATCGAAACAGTAGTTTCGATCGATAAGTCTTCGGTCTCCGACCGATATTCTCGTTTTGGAGTTGTACTATTGTAAGATACAAAACAAAACTTCTATTTATTATAATAATACATCATCAAATAATCATTTAGGAAATTTTATATCAGGTATATGTTTTTGTAAGGCGAATTTCTGGAATATCAAACTAACTTTATCTGAAAACCTGAATGATTGAAATTAGCAGTTATGATCATATCCTCAAATCATTTTCTGTGTAGTCTTCCTAACAAAGATTTCTGTATCCGAGAATGGGATTTTGTTTAAATGACATCCAAGTATACTCGGGTACAATGCGAAATTCCACTATCAGTGAATCAAATCACAATGGTCTCCTGCTCACTTTTTCCATGAGTTTTAAAACCCTTTTTTACTGTTTTTATGTTCAGGGTCCCACAAACAATAACAATAATATCGACCACAGGCCACCATTACCGACAAAAGAAGCACGATCACCAACTACTAATCCTACGCAAAGTTTCGGGAATAACCGGCCAGTTGAAAGAAAACAGATTGCTATAGGAACAGTTCCTTTGGCAAAGGGAAATATCACTATGGGAACAGTTGCCATGTCACCTGAGGCTGTTACCATGAGAACTCCTGCCACCATGCAAACAGATGATGTCTCAATAGACTCTTATTATGATGACATAGATGAACAAGATAATGAAAGTATGAAAAATGTAGAAGAACAGATCAAACATGCTCAGAAGCATCTAGTATTTTTGCAAGAACAGCAGGTAAGTCTTGTACATAATTTAGATATTAAATGGGTTTCCATCACATTGTTTTTCACCAAGACTTTGATGAATCTCTCATATCAAAAACCTTGGCATGTAGCTCCCTACAGTTTGTATTAAAATGAAGTTTTTCATACTTTTTGTGTGAGATAGAGAATTGATTTCACTTAAAAACAACTCAACTTAATAAATATAATTAATAAATAAATGGAGAATCACTTCTCTCTCGGTTTCTGACTTAGATCAAGTATGGCAAGTGGATTCCCACAATAGTTAAAGATATCATACTACAGGCAGCCCAACTTCACCCATGTAAGAAATAAAGCCATTGCCCTTAAGACTTTTGTATTATTTTTATGCAGGAAAAGCTCAAGCAACGTAAAGAAGACAGATCGAAGTTCAAAGAAACATTGAAAAGAAACTCGAGTGCTTTTGAAAAACATTCACAAGGTAATTTCTGTTGATTGGTAGTACTACAGTATGACTGTCCATAGAAAAAGGGCTCCTAATTTCAAGGCTATACCACAGATAAATCGTTGCATCTAATTTATAACATGAAATCCTGATTATGCAGCAATAAGAAAATTATAATTTAATTAAAAAAACAATCATTGGTTCAGAATTTTGTTTAAAAAAAAACAGTTTTATCCTTAGCAACTTATTAGATTAGCAAATAATTTTTTTTTATAAAAAGAAAAATTTTAAGAAAATAATCGTTTTTGGGAAATTTTGCAACTGAAGACCTTTTTGATGTGACCACAAATATATAAATTGCTGTACATTGTCTTAATTTTCGTCATACATTATTGGAATTGATATATGAATGAACATATGAATATCGTATTTTGAATGGTATCCTCCCACAATTTACACTTTAAAAGTTGTACTAGGTATTTGATTTCATGCTCAGTTGCAGAGACATTAGAATTGGATATATTTATTTGTTTTGAGAAAATTCAAGTACATTCAAGACAACATTGGTTTTACCTGATTTTGAAAAAACAAACACATAATTGCAGAGATTTTAATAATGTTTATTTATCCTTTGTTACTATGGTTTTCTGTCTGTTTATTGTTTATGCATCTTATTACAGACACTTGTCGAGTGTTGAAGTGGGTTTTGACGAAAGCACTTCAGTCTTTAATAAATTGTTATTTCATTGGAAAGTAACTCAAAAACTACCTGGCTAATTATAGTATTGAAAGTCTAATTGTTGACTCTGTCTGAATTAAATGCGCATAATGTCATGTACACCTCTGCAGGTTTAGATAGTTTGTAAGCTACATTATTTGAATACAGACCACTTCAAGCATGGCCTAATCTGTTTGTTCTTGATTCAATAACTTTACTTTGATTAACAGAATTAACATTCTCATCCTTTTTGTCTAAGGATTATTTCTTGTTATGAAATCCTTTGCCAATTATTTATGATCCATGTCTGTATGCATTTTAACACTTATTTCTCCAATTAATTCAAGTCAATCTCATCTTTAATCAGCCTTCTTGCTCACTAAAATGCTGGCAACTATACACATTACATTTGTACATATAATATATTTCGTTAATTCAATTTTCTTACATGTAACTCTACATTCCAATCCAATTACAGGCTGTGATATTTTTTTAAACTGTTTTCATTTTAAATAATTACACAAAGACACACGACTAATTTCATGCTTCAGATTTTTTCAAATTTTAGTTAACTAAATTTTCTAATTGTATATAATTAGTATTGGCCGTTGACATCTTGAGTCAAAACAATGTGGGCCATCTATGATCATTTCTGGATTTGAAACATTGAAGGTTAAAGCTTTAGCTTCTGAAAGGTTTGTTGTGGCATCACCCATAATGTGTTGAGCTCAGTTTGATCTTACCCATTCCCGCAATAATGGGTTTCAAACTGAAATTGGATATATGCTTTTTACGGTATATGAAGTTAAAATTTATGCTTCATATGCAGTTAAAAAATAGCTCCAGAGTCCAGACATCCCTAAATAAATTGGTTTCATTGAGATAATGTATGGTACAGACCGTACAGTACAACTTTATCTGATTACAAATCAGCTGGAATTTTTTTTTTGGTTAAAATTTTTAATGCGGTCGCAATTTCAGAGAGTATAGCAATTTTTGCTGATTGATTATTTCAAATTATTTCAGGATTGAGTTCATTTCTCAAAAATTATATCTGACATAAAAAATTCATAGCTTTAAACTTAATTATCAAAAACATGATACATAGCTGTATATTTGCTATGTTTATGTATTCTGTTTTCTGGAATAGTATCTCACTTTAACAACATTATGTCGGTTCATATCACCACAACAGTTCAGTTCTATTCTCTTTGGCCATTAAATCTGTTTGCTTTTGATGTGTTATTGTGCAAATACTAAACGTCACCTTTTGAAGTACCTGGATCTATTCATAGATTTATAGTATAAGTTCAGTAATCCATGTCAATTAATGTACACCAGTTGAAGATATCATATTTATTTAATGCATCCAATATAGTGTTTAAATTTGGATATTTGGTGTACAATTTCACCGAAACTCGCTGCCTAAAATGCCAATATTATTAAAACGGAAGCCTATTAATGCATCAAATTTCACTTGTTTTCGTCCATTATTCATTATTAATCTTGTTGTTTTGCAGGATTCAAATATTCACCTGGTGTATCAAGTACACTACCCAGGCAACCATACAGTGGTTCAACAGAAAATAGAAGAGTTGAAAGTTACCATGATGCAATGAATAAACAACAACCTGAAGTGAGAAACGTGAGTGGTTGTATTTTTTCATTGTATATTTCAATATAACACTATTTATTGTCGATATGGGTTGAAATTACCGATAGAGGCTTGAATGGGATAATTCACTGGTCTCATTCTGAAATTTAAGCAATTACTTTTAAATGTGGAATTCTAAATACTGTATTTTTTAGTTTGTGAATGTTCGGAAGTAGATAGAGGGATTGACAGATCACGGATTTGAGAACCATAATAATAAGCCAGTGTGAATGATTTTCACATGAAAACCTATCTTAGATTTGTCAGATCCTAATATTTATTTCTATTATCACTTAATTTCCAAAATGGTTTACTGAGGGGTGTTTTTATTCCCAGTAGAGCAGGTTTTCGAAATTTTCAGGTTTTATAGGTTTAGACTCAGGTTTAAAGGTAATATGACTTCAGTGCAGAGAGTTTTGATGGTTTATGCTGAGTGACTCTCTTCTTGAAATAAATGAAATATTACATTATGCTAAATTTAAAAATAAAATTGATATTATAAAAAAAATTTATACTACATTTTCAAACCAAGCACATTTCAGGCTTTTAGCTTAAGCTCTTGTCTTTATGTGCTCCTGAGCTGGGACAGTCTTTTGCAAATATATATCACTAAATGATGCTATTGCACACTTGTCAAATGTATGATTTTTGACTAGTTTCCAGTGAAGCCGAAATGTTGAAATTGTTTTTCGGGCGTTTGAGAGTTAATACTAATTTAGTTAACTTTTTTTGTCTAGCTAGAATGATTTTTGTCATATTTCAAGTATTCTGCAACTGCAAATTGTAATACTGTTTCTTTCCATTTATCAAATCGATCGATTTTTTTTTATTTTAAACTTATTTATTTTCACTTACCCTTATCTCAGACATTAGATTAAAGCATGATAATTCACATTTTATTATTTTTTGAAGAGAGCCGACATGTAATGGAACACCAAATTTAACATGCAATATGACCTGTCTCGTTTAAATGAAATTAATGCGACAGCGTTCCGGTTTTCATATTGATGGGATGTGCAAAACATGTCTCATAATATCGTGTATCATGTACGCGTTTTTATTATCTTTCTAGACATAAATAGTGTATGGGCTGGGCTTTATCGGTGCCGTCCTTCATTGGCTTGCACCCAACTGTGTGTAGTTTTTTAAATAATTTCTGAAATCAACTTGCGATATCAGATTTCTATAAAACGTGACTAGGTGTAACCTTTCAACATTTCTTATCTTCTCGGCTACATTTTGATTGATTTATATTTATTTCTGATGTTTATCTTATCTCATTGCTTGTTTGACATGAAGCAGAGTGTTAGTCTGATGTAGCTCAGAGAAACTGGGCAGTATTTGCCTTATCAGTGTTATTTAATCTTGCAATATTTGGTGATTGGCGAATGAAACGATATTACGATCTTATTTTATTCTCTCAATTTAATTTAAAGCTATATATTGCCGTTGTTTAGATTTAATTGCTAAAATATAAATTCCATTCGCTGATCTTTAAAACTTAACTTAAGTTTTATAGATTTGGTTTCAAATAGACAGATGACAGTATATGTACACTTCGTTTGTATAGCAATGTTTATATAGCTGTGGTGTAGATAGTTGAGCAGTTTGTTCGTGTACTGTTATATGAGGATTTACATGATCAAACTTATTTTACTCGGATTAGGGGCATTTGAAATCCGTTTCCCTTTGAACAAACTACATTATCAATTCATGTATCTTGTCATGTTCTATTAAAAATTAGAACTCTCAAATCTTGTTTTCATAAATCTGCTCTTAAGAATACGATTTCACACCGCAAGCACGCGTTTTCATCTGGTTGGTGTCTTTTGCGAGTAACAATCGTCACAAGCCGCAATTTTGTCATGTACCGTTTACTGTATTCAACAAATCCAAGTGTTATCAATCATTCAATCCTACCCATTACACGTCGTCAGTTCAGATTTGCCTGCCTCAATCAAATGTTCGTGCAAAAGCAAGCCTTAATCCTGAGATAACTTTCAAAATTTATTGCTTCAAAATTTGGACCGCACTATGACGACCTGAATCACTGTAACATGTAACATCGATTGTCGATGTCATCTTCCGATAATTTTTGTGGTTATATATTAAATTTATTTCAAGTGAGCTTACCATAACAAGCAGTGCAAAACCTACTTTTCCGGACAACGGAGCGTTTTAAAAGATAGTGAATTATTAAGTTGGGTAACCAGAGGTCATATCTCGCGTATCATCCGGCGCGTATTTATTGTTTAATTCTACGCTGAAGTTTGTTAATTTTGATGATCTTGATCTTGAAGTGATATACGACCTTCCTGCTATTTTACTGGCATGAAACGGTTACAATTGCTGCATTTATCCCTGGGGCTAGAATACGCAATAAAAATATCTTATGATATCAATTATATGAATGTAAAGAGTTTTTCTTTTTTGTGCACTTACACATAAAATGAAGTACAAGTTGCAGTATGTCGTGTGTATCGTTATGCTTTGTCTAATTTGCGATGCCAAGAATTTATGGTAGCGGTAATTGGGGTTTACAATATACTATATAAAGAACTTATTGTATACGAATTTGTTCAATTAGTTTTACCGTATATCAAAATGTTTTAAAATTTTGCTTGGAATATAAGATATCATGAATGATTGTATAAAATAGCAAATACTCGCTGACGAAGTTGTTATCAAAATTGCGTCATTAGTATTTTGGAATAAAACTTAAGGCTTTGTGAATTGCCAAAACCACGCGAGAGTTAAAACTATTCTTCGATCCGACTTACGTATGCAGTATTGTGATTCATTGAATATATAAGTCAAAAGCTATGCTGTTAACTATAGACGGATATGCTTTTAACTGGTATCTCAGTGTCATTTTGAACTGTCCTGTATACTGTTTTAGGGGGATTCGTTTGTGACACTGACATCTGAGCACCCTAGGTAAAAATTATGACTAGTTATGATGAGACTCCAATATCATTTATAAAGGTTTAACTGATAGTTTTACGGTATATCAATATTTCTGCTCTTATCTTAACGGGAGTTTGCCACGTACATATTGTGGAATTATGTCGTAACTCGTAATCATAACGCATTTGTTAAGATTTGCCCAGAGGTATTGTTGTTGTTTGCTGCAGTTGTTTTCGCGCGTTGTGGCTGATTAAAATGAAATTTATGCAAATCCTAAGAACATTGTTGTTTTTTGAGGTGGAGGACATCTGCAGTACACGATAAGGCGATAGGTTAGTAAATCAATCATTAGCGTTAGTTTATTTTAAACTTTCAAAGTTTTTTTATTCTCTTTCAATTTTCTAAGTTATTCCATCTGTACAATAAAGTATTACTTAGGGTAGGAGTATAGAAATTGTGATACGATGATACGCAATGAACGTAATAATTTGAAGGAAAATGGCGAAGTTTCAAGTACTTTAAGATCATAATATTAGACGACTTCTAGATCAGAAATTTCTTTTTAGGTGGGGCTGTTGTTACGGCGATATGGCTGAAATTTTTGGCGTAGTATTTCGATGTAAATGCCTGAATTAGAATTATTCGTGTAAGTATATACAAATAGCAACAGTTTTAATTTTTAAAATAGAATGCATTGCTTATTGTATACAAAATTATAAATATCCAAAAAGCAATACCGATTACATCTCCTTTGCATTTTTTGTTGATTTTATGTCAGCAATATTGCACAAACGTAGAAAACGTTAATTTGATGATTCACTTAGTTTCGCGTGAACATACTTATGTGTTTTATTGCCCATACTACCTTGATCAAATCCAGAAAACTCCTCGCATTTTTACGTACATTCGTATGAATAACATCGCGTGGAATTTTAAGGACTCGATTGACCGCGAATAACCTTTAACGCGTAGTCGTCGCGTATATTTTTCGCAGAGGGGGTCGAAAATAATTGAGATGGATTTGATTTTTTCTGTTGAACATGGAAATTGTTTTGGATCTGTAAATACAAACGTGCATATTTGATGATAATGATGATTTGGGGTTATTACTCAGAATACTTAGTGAAGGGGCTTCAAATGTAGCATGTTCAGATACTGGTCTTGGAAGATAGCGCTCGGTAGTTTGCACAATCCTTAATTAGTAACCTACGGCATGTTGGATAACATGACTTTTTCTGTAATCAAATAATGTAGGTTGTTATCGTTTCAATTTGGCCTTATTTACCTAGTGAAAATCAGTTATTCGATGAATTTTTGTCGAGGTCGTGGAGTACAGTTAACCACACAATACTGTACTGCGACCATTACTATGGTATGAGAGTAAAGATTGTATGTTCGTGGTACCGAACACAATAGCGTTTCCGTTATTTACATATCTACATAGGTAATATATTTTTATATTTATTTATATATATTTTACAGATTATTTTCGTTTATTTTTCCTTGATTTGGGAATAGCGATAAATTCCAATATTGATAAATCATATATTGTTTGGCAGTAAAAAATATGTTTGGTTGCTCCACCTAAAATGAGCGAACGCTGAATGTCGATGGCTTATCGGGATTATAAAGTACAGATAAAGATGACACCATACTTTAACAATGACTGTTGTGAATGTTTTTGGATTAAGCGATGAATGTTCTTATCTCCTCTATTGAGCAGAGGATGAAACGGCCGCCGCCAAGTCTGCATGTGTTTTACGTTATGGAATTTTAGTAGAGTGGGATTCGATAGTAGTTGAGAATTAACATTTTGCAGTCCTAGTTTGTTTTTGAGGAGTCTATTTTTTACTTGTGAAATTGATGCCATATGCAATAATGCCATGTTTTCGACCTTCATCGCTTTTTTAATCAAATTAAAATATTATGAAAACTTAGAAATATGGACGGATGTTTATCAAAATGAACGAACTTCATAGTTGGCGACACAGTAGTACCACTATGTAAATTAAGAAATACAATTGAAAGCGTATCGTACGCGTTTAGTGGATGTAATATAATCACAATCGGAGATGAAACTGTTC